ACAACAACAACAACAATATACAGACAAAGACAATATAAAATCAGAGAATTTTGATGGACTAATTGGCTTTAAATTAACATTTAATCTTTAGTATCTTGTCAGATACTTGAGAGGATTAGTCTGTTAAAGTTTTCTCTTCTGACTTCCTTTTGATTTTCTATGTTTTAGGTTGGGGGAAACCTCATCATTTTATCTTCTTTTTAACTGAGCATAGGGAAAATTTGCTGTCAGCATTCTCCAAAGTGCTAAAGAGTAATTCACATCAGTCTAGGGACTAAGTGGTGCCTGATCCAGGCCATGATCTTTGCAATTACTTGCTATGGATCAGAGAGCTGGATAATGACTAAGGATAACAGAAGTTGAATTGATGCCTTTGAGTTGTGGTGCTGAAGAAGAGTATTGAACAAACCATGGATGCCAAGAGAACAAATAGGTTTGTCTTAGGGTGAAACCAAATTTCTCCTTGGAGGCTAGGATTTTGAAGGTCTGTCTCACATACTTTGGGCAGATTGTTAGGAGAGACTAGTCCTTGGAGAAAGAGATCATGCTTGGAAAGGTGGAAGGACAGTGCAGGAGAGGAAGACCCCAGCTGAGATCAGTTGACACAGTAACTGGGGTAATGGAGGCAGGTGTGTTGAAGCAGTGAGACTGGCTCAGGATAGGAAAGGCTTCAGAGCTCTTGTAGGGTCACTATGAGTCACAAGTGATTTGATGACACATGACAAGAACAACAGCATTTGGAAATTTACATTAGCTTTATCAATACCAATTGTCTATATCACTGGAAGCTCTTAGTGATGAGGAGATGCACTGTCAACCTGAAGGTTTGATGTTTGAATTCACCAGTTGCACCTCAGAAGAAAGATGAGCAGTCACCTCCTGTGCATTTAACTGCCTTTGAAAAACTACTGGAGGGTCAGCTAAGAGTCAGTCCTTACTCAATGGTACGGTCAACAACAATATATCACAACTTAGAATTTGCCTCAGTAAAAGGAACCTTAATGTTCTTCTTTTCAGATAATAAACAAAAATTAAAGAAAACAGAAACATCAGAACCAAAGAGATTTACCTTTACACTTGAAAACAGCCTCATGCTTTACACTAATAGCTAAGTTTACTTGGAGTGTGAGAGAGAAGAGAAGCTAGGAAATTGGGTAAAAGGAACTGATTTTTCTCCAACTATGCAGCCAAATTTATTACTTGATTTCTACGAGGGAGAGACAAGGATTTTGCCCAAATGTCAAGTAATTGAGAAGTTCAGAATGATTTCCTAACTGTTTAAAATCTGTTTAAGTCTTCATACTATTTATATGATCGGAGCTGGAAATTTCCTACTTTACTTATTTTCACACAAAGGAAAAGTGCCCAAAAGGTCGAAATCATTATCCTGTCTCACTTAAATACCTTCTTTCTTACTGCATCTGACACCACTCCTCAGAATGTGCACCACTGGTGGAAGATAGTTAAGCTACGTACAAATCAAACTGTTTATTTCAGATTGTCAAAATCAGATTAGTCTAGAACTGCAGCTGGTCCAAGCTAGATCCACTTTTTTCCCTTTTTGGTTCTCTGAGATTCTAGACTTTGATCCTGTCTTTTGAAAAGAGGTTATTCATTATCTTGACAGCTGACACATTCTTCTAGAAAAGTCCAGGTGCTGAGGAAGGTCATCCTCTTTTCTTCTTCCTATGGTTTCTCTGTTAACAGAGCAATGTAAGTGCCCTCAGAGAACCTAAGATTTGTTCTCTACACAGTACTGGGTAGTGAGAGAACATCATAATGGTCAGTACTCAGAGAGATTAGTTTCGTTGCTTCTACAGATCAATCAGGAAAGTTAAGCAACAAAAATAATGTAGCTTTCAAACTCTTGAGACATATTCCTCATTATAAGTTCTGTGTGTCCTATGAAAGTAACATTGGTTTTGCATATTGGCTGTCTCTTAATATACATGATCTTAGGGAGCTCTGGTGACCTAGTGAATAGAGTTGCACTGCCAACCCAAGGGCAGACAGTTATCTCCTCCTATGGGATTTACAGCCTCTGAAAACCTGCTAAAGGGTCAGATATAAGTCAGTTCTGACTTGATGACAATAGGTTTGAATATGAGCTTTAACATAGTCTAAGACATTTGATCCTTTGATAGAGGGGCTACAAGGGTAATGGATATAACTTAGAGAGTTTCTGCAAATAAAAAGATATAAGTTCAAAGAAAATCTACAATTTCTTTAAAGAAGAGAGACTTTAAACTGAAAAGGACTCTTGGCCTACACTTAAGTGGTAGCCCCTGCTCCTGTCAGCTGTATGACCTTGAAAAAGCCACTGCTCCTTTCAGAATCTCAGTGAGTGTACTCACACCATATCAATAGGTTGGACACTAGATAAATTTGAAGGTTCTGTGATTCTTGGCAGTAAAATCAAAGCATGACATGAATTAATGCTGAGATTATTTGGAGAATAATTTAGAGAAACTTCAGAAATAAATGCAATTCAAGAGAATTAGTATTCTGGTAAACTCTAGGCCCAAGACTTTATGGTATTGGTGAATAACTTAGAAGATGCTTACCCCAGACCTAGGTTTTCTACTTTCTTGAAGGTGTTAAGAACCAGTTAAATTTGAGTTTCATTTGAGTTATCTGTGTTAACTACCCCCCTGCTGAGTCCTGTCTTCCTACAAATATCCACAAGGAGGTCAGATGGTACATTATGTGTTGGACTGCTAACCAAAGATCAGTTATTCAAAGCCATTAACCCCACTGCTACAGAAGATAAGGAAGTCTCTTATAATGATGTAAAGTCTTATAAACCTGCCATAGTTTCTTTTTATCACCATATATTAAGAAACATCTTGAAAAGTAAATATTTTTCTTATAGTCTAACTTTCTTTTATTTTTTTCTCTCTCTAGATAAGTAACACACTAGGCTAGCTAGCAGTTGCTCCTAAATGGAATTATTTTATCATTGCCAGAGAACTCAGATATTAGAAAAAGCTGTTTTCTTTTCCTTTCTACCTTACCAGCAATGATCTACTTCTCATATAACTTTTTCTTCTTCAGAGGAGTCATAAGGAGACCTTAGGTATATATCACACATTACAAAAAAAAAAAAAGAAAAAAAAATTAAAAACCAAACCTTGTGCTGTACATTTTATTTCAGTCCACAGAAAGCTTATAGGACAGAGTTAAACTGCCCCATAAAGTTTGCCTGTGATTACTTGTGCATGCTTGAAAGGTCTCTCTGTTTATATGTATTTTCCCTTTTTATCACTAGCATCTTGTGGGAGTTGCTACTCATTTTCTTCTTTGGGTATGCTAGAAGCAAGAATCCGTATATTAACCAACAATTCTCAGACCCCAATATTGAGTCCTCAGGAGGTTGTGTCTTGTAGCCAGTACTCTCAAGGTAAGTGTTTTATTGCCCAAAATATTTCATAACATTTACCTGTGTACAGTTGGCCATTATTGGCAAAGACAAAGGATAGTGTATTGAAAGGAAAACCATATCTGACATTGAAAAACCTAGGCATGATTTATGGTGCATCAGTCTGTTAATAGATAGCAGATAGTTCGCATGGAATTCATTATACCATACATGTCTAGGCTTTTTTCCTTAAAAAGTCCTCCCTGACAACCACTGCAGAAAAATCTAACCATGCTCTTACCAGTGCCTCCATAAATCTTAAAACCCCCTTACATTCATTACGCAATAGTGTTCTAATCCCTGAGAAGGGTAGTTACTGATAGGGAACAAGCATTTTGAAGGTCAGGCAGGGTAGAGTTTCAGTTCTGAGATGTCACTCCATAAATTCACTCTTAAGAAAACTGTGCTACCACTGTTTTATGTCCAGGAGAATTTTAAAATTCTAAGATTTGACTTTCAGAACAAGCCATATGTAATGTATATAGACAGCTCAGTTGGAATTGGTAAAGAGAAACATTCCAATTTCAAAGTTTCCTGCGATAGCCCCAGTCATGAAAACAGTAAACTAGCTCACTTTTGAATCTGCCTTTTCAAATGTGCTAAGTAGTTATTAGTCTGTGAGTCTTAATAAATCCTTCTCATTCATAACTCTTACTAAATCTCAATACTGTGATTGTTGGATCACGGGGGCTATCCTTTCTCATGACAGCCCCTGTCCTTTCAAAGCCTATTTACAGTGAGGGAAATCAACATGAAGTAATTAATGACACAAGCACTAACCAAATTATACTGCTGAGAAGAACAATGAAGAAAAGTATAGGATTTTGATGTCCATAACAGAGCCAGGAATGGAGGAAGGAGATGGGACCTAACCTAGAGCTCTATGAATTGAATAGTTAGAAAGAACTTTTTTTTTTGAGGAAAAGCCCAGCAATACTTTCTGATAGCCATAGTACCTGACCCTGCAGTAGTAGAAAGCTCTGGTGGCCTAATGGGTAAGAATTTGAGCTACCAACCCAAAAGCAAGCAGTTCAAATCCACCAGCTGCTTCTTGGGAGAAAGGTGAACAATCTCCTCCAAAAACCCAGTGGAGTGTCATCTATAAGTTGATGGCACATAAGAACAAAAAATAAAATAACATAACAACAAAAATAAATTATAATTATAATAAATAACATAACAACAAAAATAAATTATAATAATATCTAATATTATTGAATGCTTATTATATAGAGTAAAAAGCCTATTACATAGAGTAACTACATCCTACAAGGGAGGTACTGTGACATTTTAATTTTCAGAAAATAAATGAAAGCACAAAGAAGTGAAGTTCACACAGATTTGATTTGGATTCAATGCCGAGTAGCTATTTGTTGAATGAATAAGGGTGCTAGGCTCATTAGCTAGATAGCTAAATGGATAGATGAACAAAAGACATTTAAGTCCAGTCAACTTTTCAACCCACCTATGAGTCCAAGAGAAGAAGATGGGCAATCATCTCATATGTGACTCACAGCCTCAACAACCCAAAAGTGTGTCACCTATGAGTTACTTCTGACTTATGGCAATGTGTGAGAGTGTGTGTACATGCCTTTCTATTAGAGGAGTAACTATTTCCTTCATCCTTAGGGTGTGACGGTGGCTTCCCATATCTCATCGCAGGAAAATATGCCCAAGATTTTGGGCTGGTGGAAGAGGACTGCTTCCCCTATAAAGCCACTGACACTCCATGCAAAGTGAAGAAGGATTGTGTCCGGTACTACTCCTCAGAGTACCACTATGTTGGAGGTTTCTATGGGGCCTGCAATGAGGCTCTGATGAAGCTGGAGTTGGTCACTCATGGGCCCATGGCAGTTGCTTTTGAAGTCTATGATGACTTCCTCCACTACCGGAAGGGGATTTACCACCACACTGGGCTGAGAGATCCTTTCAACCCCTTTGAGCTGACAAATCATGCAGTTCTGCTTGTCGGCTATGGCACTGACTCAGAAACTGGGTTGAATTTCTGGCTTGTTAAAAACAGTTGGGGTACCACCTGGGGTGAGAATGGCTATTTCAAGATACGCAGAGGAACAGACGAATGCGGGATTGAAAGCATAGCAATGGCAGCCACGCCAATTCCTAAATTGTAGTGTATATCTCTCAGTATTTAGTGTGTCAGCTACAAGCAATGTTTGATTAAATGCAAGATGTTATATTAGAAATTTATGTGAAATTCTCTATATTTTTTCATTGTATACATCACAAGAAAATATTGTTCTCATTAAACTGTTTTATTCTTTGTCAGTTTCCTTCTCTGGTGATATGTGCAGTACAATTTTAATGTGTGTGTAAGACAATTTTTACCACCAAGTCTTTCAGTGAGAGTGACTTAACGTCACTTATGTAAGAACTTTTGAAGAAGGAAAATTATTCGAGGTTACTTCAATTTGAAACAACGAGCTATGGACCTTTATGAGAGATGGCCTACTCTAAAGTTATCCTTGAATATTTGATAAGCAACAAGCCATAAAGGAAAGAGGTAGGGATTTGGAATAAAAACCCCTGAGTATTAGTTTAATTCATATGGTGTCTTTCTTGCATTTGCAGGTATTGGATAGCTTATACTAGGTAAGCAATAGAAGTTTAATTAGTGGAAAATTAAAATTTTAGATTTGGAAAATAATCTTTTGTTATCTTCAAGGGGTATTTTTCACTGTGGTTTAAAAGCTTTAGGAACTCTGGTGATATAACCATTAATCCTTTGATTACTTAACAGAAAATGGCCTCTGTGAGTGTAGTCTGAGGCTATTGTATGGTGAACTCAAAGGCTATATCACTTTGATGGTTCAAATCCTGCAGTAACTTCTCAGGGGAAACATGGGCAGGCTACCCCTGTGCTATTTACAGCTTTGGAGACTAAATGAAGATCAGCTTTGAGTTGGTTCCTTCTCGACAGCAATGTGCGAGGTGTGGGCATGGAAGGGAACAAACTACTAACCAAAAAGTTGATCATTTGGGTTCATCCTGTGGATTCATGGAAAAAAGAACTATCCTTCTGGATCCACATTCTGTTTTATCACATGAGGCCATTATGAAACATCTATTAAAATAAGCAGGTGGGATATACTAGAAGTCATGTGGAAGTTGAGTAAATTAAACAGTCTGATCTCCAAAATGGTAACATGTTACTGTGAAACCATTTACAACTTTTGAAAATTTTAATCTGGAGCATTGGGACTTAGAGGTCAAGCAATCCAGTTTTACACTGATACAGGACTTCTGAGGGCATATGGCTCATCCAAGATCACATGGTTTGGTAAGTGATGGAGCCATGATTCCATTCTAAACTCTCCCTGAACACTTTGAAACACTGGCTCCAAGAATATTCTCCCCAAATGTTTATTATCACTGTTGAAACCAGCTGTATCCTGGGAAATTTCACCTGTCATGGTTTTGACTTCAACTTCATGTACCATTTTCACTGCAATTCTTGACAATGACATTTCTAATCTTAAAGTGCCACTCCAGAAATATGGCTTCCTGAGCCCCATGGCATTTTGCCACATACTATGGACCATTCACCTAATGTGACATGGAAATGGGCCTCAGGCAAAAGTTAAGACCCTTGTCATGAAAAGACTGTAAGAAACTACTTTCTTTATTCCTAATTATCTGTAATTTTGGTTTTATTTATGCCTTACTTTGCGGCTGTGAGAGAACTTGAAATCAAATATAAACTGATTCTTCTCACTAAGCATTGGTCTCCAGGGGGAGCCCAATTTTTCTATTCCTGAAAGAGAAATGGATTACTTCTTTCATCCATGCGGGAGAATTCATTAAAAACAGTAGCAAACAGTAATATTATGGTTCTGTATGCCATATGATTAGTCTATACAAAAAGCAGTTAGCTCCACTATCTAAAATTTGTTTGAAATAACACTAGTAGAACATAACCTGTTTTACTAATAAACCTTTTAATAAGCTGTTATAAAAACCTTACTAATAACCTGTTCTTCTCAAAACCTGTTGACAATTCGAACTTTTGAAGAAATAGGATGGGAACTCAGACTTATCTCCTTAAGAGAATCACAGAAAGGCCATTTTTTAGTTATGTGCAGAACACACAGGGGTGAGAAAAAAGAAAGTTCAGTAGTCTATCGAGTATTAATAGATTCTAGAGCTATACTGCTTGCATAAGATTTCTGATTTTGACACTTACTTCACTATGAGACCTCAGGCAGTTTGTTTAACTTATTTGTACTTCAGAATTTTTTTGTAAAGTATAGAGACATTTCTCTGACTGACCTCTCTAAAATGTTAGTCTCTGAAAAGAGACCAAGTGGATTTGCATGTGCTACTTAAATTCAGGCTATTCCAGTTCCGTAGGATTAGATGATGTCATTTTCTTGGCTCACTGTATTCTTTTCACCTAGATTTCATTTTAGGTACTTTAGGAAAGTTGTAAGGAACAGTGATTCCTTAGAAAAGGATATCATGCTTGGGAAAAAGAGGGTCACTGAAGGAGGGAAAGACTCTCACTGAAATGAATAGCCAATGACTACAACAATGGTTTGGGGCAAAGCAGAGATTGCGGATGGCAAAAATTTGGGCATAGTTTCAACATGTTGTAAATAGGGTATCTATGAGTTTGAGTTTACTAATAGCAAAATAGCTGCTAAATTCGGACAGATTTATATAGTCAGACTTATTTTAATTCATAAAGTCATGGGAGGAATACTTAAATTCACTGCTACAAAGCACTTGTCTAGCACATAGAACTAGGCCCATATAAATACTTTTCAAGTTACTTGATTGTAAATTCAACTTATAAAACAATCTTTTGCTAGAAATGGAGCAGCTAAGATATATCCTGTTAATAATCGAGCTCCACCACTTACAGATATGAGTCTGTAATGATTTATTAAAAAAATATGTTGGGAAGAAAGCTCACAGAACAATGGTATAAAGAAACCCTACAGAGTAAAACTAAACTGAGTTAGATGATTTTTGGTTTTGAGCATCTTAAATCCACCTCTCTCATCATTACTTATGCTTCTATTAAAAACAACAACAAAAAAAACCACAACAACTTAAAATGTATCACATCTAGAAGGCTGTGGTAAAAATGAGGAACACAATCCAGTTGAGGGAATGGTCACTGAAACGTTGAATTCTAATACACTTCCAAAAGAAGATTAAGATTAAATTGAGAGGGATAAAATAATTTTATTTTCCAACTTCTACTCTGGAAAAAAGAAAGAAAAGCTCCTCTTGTGCTACTTACAACCTCTATAAACCCTTTGAGGGATGGAGTATCATTGATTTTACAGCAATGAGCAGTTCTTAGAGATCTAAATGTAATATTAGCATAAAGATAAAACATCATAAAGATACAACATCCCTTGAGGATACAGATTCAAATAAACATAGTACTGGAAGTGAAGCTGAAGGTTACATAGTATACTTTAGTCAATAAGAAAGCGATAAAATAAGGTAGATCTGAGAATATGCCTTAGATTACAGCTAAAAAGTATATAGAACAAGATATTTCTAAAACTTATGAATTACTCTCCTCCTTCCCAAATGTTTCCTCCAAAGACTGTCTCCTTCTGACAGCATGCCCAAAGTATATGAAATGCAGTTTCACCCTCCTTACCTCTAAGGAATCCCCTACTTGCACTTCCTCTTGTTGTTGTTAAGTGCCATCCAGTCATTGATGAGTCATAGCGATCCTACGAATGAAAGGCTTGAGCACTGTTCATAGAGTTTCCAGAGGCAAGCCATTTCGGAAATGAATGCCACTCCTGCTTCCAAGCTTGTTTTAATCAGGAAACTCCACCAAACTCTGTCCGCCATGCGTAACCATTATCACATTTGGCACATCAGTTTCACAGCGTTTAGCATCACAGCAACCAAAAGTTACCTCTGTACAGCCATGCACAGACCAGTGCACTTCCTCTTATATTTGTTTATTCTTTTGTAGTCTATAAACTATTGAAAAATTTTTGCCACAATACAAAGGCATCCATCCATTCTTCCATCATCTTCAGCCATTGTCAAACTTTCACATGGATATGAGGCAATTGAAAATACCATGAATTGGATCAGCACTTTTTTCTTTAAACTGACATCTTTTGCCTTTAGAAATTTAAAGGGGATTCTTTTAAAGTATGTTGTTGTTGTTGTTAAGTGCCATTGAGTTGTAGGCAACTCATAGTAACCCTATGAAGGAAAGTCCTCAACACTTGTTTGACTTTCATCCTTTCTCCAGATTCATAGGGTTTCCGGAGGCAAGCTATTACGCAAGTGGATGCAACTCCTGCTTCCAAGCTTGTTTTAATAGTGGAGCTCCACCAAACACTGTCCACCATGGGTAACCGTTAATGTGTTCAGCTTTACAGCAACCACAGGTTACCCCTGTATGGCAAGTGGACACACCAGGGCTAAACGACCTAGAAGAATGTTTGAACAAAAACAATGAAAAACAGGAAAGAGGGCCACAGGACCCTTCAAATGCTGGTAACCTCTGGGCCAGTGACCCCTAGTTCATCTGGCAAGTCCACTCTGCCAACACTCACTTGTGGCAAAAAGAAAGCCGCTATTAAAGTATAGTAATGCTAATATTTTTTAAAAATTCAACCCATTGCTCTCAAGTCAGAATCTACTTCTAGCTGGCCCTCTGGCTTGCTTTCAGAGGCCATGAATTACATGGGTGAACATTGCTCATCATTCTCCTAGGCACTTGTTGATGAATTCAGACTGCCACAGAGGTGCCACCTTTGAGTTAGATGCTCACCTCCCTACCCAATAGGTCACCAGTAGTGCCTTATCTTTAAATAGTGGTGTTAGTATTTCTAAAAATTTATTTCTTATCCAAAAAGAAGTAGAATGTTGGGGTTTGGGGAGGTGCGGGGGGGGGTAGGGATTGTGTACCAATGAGGGAGTTTTTCTTTTGCTTTACAAGGAGAGGAGCAAAGTGGGGGGAGGGGTTTGTGCGGGGAGAAGGGTGCAACAATGAATGAATGGAATCCCAAAATCTCTGTAGATGTTCATTGAAATGAAAAATAAACAACCTAAATTAAAAAAAAAAAAAAAAATAGAATGTTTCTGAACGAGATTTGAGAGTTTGAGCTGTTTCAGAATCTTTTGTTCTTATATGAAAGGCATGG